ATTTACACACACGTATCGAATCCCAGCTGAGATGGCCCTTGTCTTTTCCCTTGCTTCCTAGTCCTTGTAAGAAAGTCAACAGGGGCAGATGACCTAGCCTGCAGGTGAACATTAACTATGAGACACCAGCACGCAATAAAAATTACTATTGTTGTTATTCTTTATAGAGCAATCTGGTGTAATCTTGTAACTATGTAAGTCTCTTAGCCAGATATGTTGACGTGGTAAAGTCAATCTTGAAATCTAGCTTTCTGCTGATCAGGTTTTCAGGACACCGGAGTTATGGTCCCAGTTCTGCTGCAGAATTGCCCCAACTCTGGGTTCTTCCTGAGTTTTCCAGTGTCCTTCGGGGGGAAGATGTAAGCTTCGGATGAGATGATCACTAAGATCTTTTCTTGATCTAAAATTGTGGTTTTCTTGGAAGAGAAGCATTCTTGTTCTTGCATCACTAAAAATGCAGCTGGTTATCTCATTGGCTTTCCCAAAGAAACATTGTTTACACCAAAGGAACAGAAGCACAAGACACTGTGACCTTTGTGTTGGTCAGAGGCAGAAACCCAATTCAAACTGGCTGAAGCCACTAAGGGCACCTACAAGCTGAAATCCAGGGGGTGGAGCCTCCTCTGGTAAGCCGGGTCCCAGGGCTCATGGGATGGAAGGAGGCCCCGGGCTCTCTGCATGTCCGGCCCCACTTTCTCCGGTACTGGGATTCCCTTTCAGCAGCCCCTTCTGCACAAGGATCCCAGGAGCACCAAAGTGACTACTGTCAGCTTCAAAGCCAAGAGAAAAAGAGCTTCTATCTAAGAACTCTGGGGTCTTCTTGAAAAATAAATCTCATTCATTTGGTCGGAGTCATGTGCCCCCTCCTGAACGGATCACTAGGGCCAGGGAAACAGAGGGTCAGATTAGCCACATCTGTGTCATAGCACCACCCCCCCCATCCCCGATGGAGCTGGCGTAGGGGTGAGGCCAGCCCATCCAACCCACATGGGCAGAGAGTAGCAGAGGGGAGGATGTCAGAAGGAGACTCAGGGGGCTATTAACAGAACAAAGGGGATTAGATACCGGACAAGTAAAAAGAGTTGACATGTATTTCTGGTCTCATTAAGTGATGATTTTCTTACAGGTATGTATTAATTTCCCCTAGCCACTGTAACAAATCACCACAGTCGGGGCAGCTTAAAACAACCCAAATCTATTCTCTCAGAGTTCTGGAGGCTGGAAATCCAAAATCAAGGTCAACACCTGGGCCACACTCCCTCTGGAGACTCTAAGGGAAAATTCCTTCTTTGCCTCTTCCAGCTTCTAGTGGCTGTATCACCTCAATCTCTGTCTCTGTGGTCACATTGCCCCCCACCCTGTCTGTTTCAAAGCCCCCCTTGCCTCTTATTGAGGACACTTGGCACTGAATTTAAGGGCCCACCCGAGTAATTAGGATAATCTCCCCGTCTCAAGATCTTTAACTTAATTACATCTGCAAAGACCTTGTTTCCAAATAAGGTCACATTCATAGGTTCCAGAGATTTGACATGGACTGCTTTTGGGGGGCTGTTTCTCAACCCACCACCTGTACTAAGCCAGAAGCATAGTAATATGTAAGTGACTAAGGCCTCAAAATGGATGAGAGAATCAGAATCATTTCTAAATATTACTGATGTATTTTCCCCATGTGCTTTGTTGCCTTTTAAAGAAGTAAAATAAAATTTGCTGCAGGGGAAAACAAATAACTAAATTTTTTAACCGGACCACAAAGCATGCAAGGTTTTTATTTCAACATATCAACCCTCCTGCCCGCTTCAACAGGTAACTGTTGAAACAATGGCTGTTTTTATTTGCGCTTTCTACTCCTTTTCTGCATTATTTTTTAGCTCCTTTGATAAAATGTCTTTTCTTTTTTCTTTTTCCTTTTTTTTAATGTCTTTTCTTTTTTTAGATTTTATTTATTTGAGAGAGAGAGAGAGAGAGAGAGAGAGAGAGAGCGCGCGCGCGCGAGAGCAGGAGCAGGGGGAGCGGCAAAGGGAGAGGGAGAAGCCAACTCTCCGCTGAGCAGGGAGCCCGATGCGGGGCTCAATCCCAGGACCCGGAGATCATGACCTGAGCTGAAGTCAGATGCTTAACCGACTGAGCCACCCAGGTGCCCCTAAAATGTCTTTCTTAGCAGTATTAATACTGATCGTAACTGAAAACAAGATCTTGAATGTAAAAAGTCACTGATGAGAATACACCCCAATTGGAAAAGTATTTTCAAAACTGATTTCTCATTTCAAATGAGTAAAAAAAATTTCAAAATCTCAACCACCAGCCTTTTCTTGTCTAGGTAAAAGTTCCAAGGAACCCCAGGCTGGATTAGAGATAAATAATGCAAAAATCTTGTGAAGAAATCAACAGGAACCCCTACACCTCAAGGAAGGCAGTGGAAGAATACATGTTTTCAAATATATGTCATTTCATCCCTGTTTCCACCCACATTCGGCCCAAGCAGCTGCCCTTACTGGTTGCTCAGGTTGGACTGGGAGTGCACTGGCTGCTGGTATTTTCCCTGGGGGCATCTTGGCAGTAATTCTGGTGGTTCAGATCCTTCGATACCACAGGGGCTGGTAGGTGGCTCTGTGCTTTATCGGCAGGACAAGTCTTACAGGTGTTTCACAAGACAGGGGACTGGAGTTGGAGGGGAGTCTGATCCCTGATCCTCCCAGGCTCCCCAGCTCAGGAACTCAGGGGCCCAGATCCCCACCTATGCTTCTCAGGTGCAGCTCTGCTTTGCTGTCTAATTCAGCTTTCTCGGCTAGAAGCCCATAGGCTCTGAGAGGGGAGGAAATAGCTGGGTGTTACGGGTTTCTGCTACTCTTCTGCGTCTGTAGAATGGACTTAGCTTCCACCTGGCATCCAGGAATCGACTTGCATACGTCGGCAGAGTGAATTCCCAGAGTTGGAGGCAAGATGATGTAATGGTAAGAGTTCTGGCCTGGACATTGGTGGGCAGATCCTTCTCTGCCCCCACTTGCTCGGTGACCTTAATCAGCCTCTTCTCATCTTAGCCTCTCTGTTTCCCATATTTAACACAAGGATTGGACTAGATGTTCCCTGAGGCATCTTCTAGCTTCATTATCTAGCAGCTGTATACACATTATGTCCTCCAGTTTGAGCACTGGGATACCTGGGAAGGCTCACTGTGTTTCTTTTTCCAGAAAACACTCCCTACACACACCTTGGTGTGGCTGATGGCTACAATTCAGCAGACCCCTAAATAAGGCCCAGAAGTACAGGATTGTGGGTGGCTCTGTTGGTTTAGTGACTGACTCTTGGTTTTGACTCAGGTCGGGATCTCAGGGTCGTGAGCCTGTGAGCAGTCTCGCACTCGGGGGGAGCGTGCTTGGGATTCTAGCCCCCTCCCATCTCCCTCCTCTCTTTCTCTAAATAAATAAATAAATAAATAAATAAATAAATAAATAAAATCTTTAAAAAAAATAGTTGTTCCCACCTATGACAGCATCAGTCATTCACCAAACATGAATTAGGTGCCCCAGGTCGGTGCTAGGGCTATAAAGATGCATAAGATGAGCTCCTGCCTTGAGGAGCACACAGCCCAAGGAAGGAGACAGATGAGTAAGGATTGCATTACAGTGTGATCAGTTCCACTATAGGATTATTAATAAGGCATCATGACACCTAGAGGATGGATATACACAAATCTGTCTGGGGTGGAGTCAAGCAAGCATGGCTTCCTGGAGGAGGTGATACATGGGCAGACACAATTTCCTAGGGGGAACAGGGATCAAATCCCTTAGAATGCTCACAGTAAGTACGCTCACTCAACACATACTAGCCAGCTCCATGCAACACGCTGCTTCCTCTAAAGGCGGGTGTCTCTCATTTGTCTAATGATTCCCTTGGGTCTAACACATGGATCTGAGCGGTGTGCACCTAATGGGAGCCCCAGGAGCAGGTCCCGGGTAAGCCGGGAAGGCTCACCGAACCCCAGCTTTGATGCAGACGGGAGACAGAACTATGGGCTCCAGGAATACCATTTTCGATATGCCAGTTTTGAATGCTTACAACCTGCATTCTGTGCACAGAACACTTTCCCTTCCCCCCCCCCTTCCCTTTTCCTTTTCTGGTGCAAGTTAGGGGAAAGGGACATAAAAGCTGTTGGTTACTGAGTATGTTCTAAGGTCTCACTCTGATTCTCCTTAGTCATGGCAGGCTTCTTGGAGGAAGTGCTCAGAAACAAAAGTAAGAGCTAGCTTGACTAATGAGACTGACAGCCAGGGCCCCTTGCTACCCACACCCGTGCGTGCCACCCTTCCTGGCATCTGACCTTTGTTCCTCTACTAACCTCCCGCCAATAGAACCAGGTTGGACCACTCGCCCTTTTCCGTTCGGCGGCTGGACACGTCCCCTCGGTCCGTGATTCAAAGCTCTTTCGGCCAAACTGGTTCTCCGCGCCGGGCGCCTGGGGTTGGGGACTGGCCGGGGCGGCCGCGGATCCTCCTTCTGGCTGTGAATTACCTTCGGCGGCGGCGGCGGCGGCGGCGGCGCGGCCCCGCCTCCCCTCGGCCGGCCGGCGGTTCAAGTGCAGGTTCGCAGCTGGGAGCGAGAGGCGACACCCCTCGCTCGCGCACAGCAACCTGCTCCGCGGGCGGCTGCGGGCGGGACGGACAGCGCTCGGCGCGGCGGCCAGCAGTCGGCGAGGGAGCGTCGGAAACCCCCGGCTCGGCGATTGCCCGGCGTTAAGTTGAGGAGGCGTTCGAAGCGGGCTCCGGGCGGGGAGGCGGCGGCTGGAGCGGGAGCCCGGGCCGGCCCGGCCCGGCCGGGGTTAAGTCTCCCCTGCTTCCCGCCGCCCGGCTGGCGGCCCGCCGCCTTCAGTGAGAGGCGGGCGCCCGGCAGGGACCCCTCCCCTGCCCCCTCCCCCCCACCCCCCGCCGCCTGCGGGAGGGCGGACAGTGGGGGCCACTGGGCAGGAAGCCCCCCCCCCCGGAGGGCCCGGAGCGAGAGGGGCTTCTGGACGCCGAGATGGCCGATGAGATTGACTGGCTGGACTTGCCCGGCCGGTGGACCTACGGAGTGGACCGCGGGGGGAGAGTCTTCTTCATCAAGTACGTTGGTCTCTCTCGTTTTGCCATTTTATTTTTTCTTTCGAGTTGTCCAGTTTGGAAGGTGGCAGGGCTGGGGGCAGGCTGAGCGGTAGGGGGAAGCGGGCTGGAACAGCGCGCGTGACTAATAAGTTTATCACCATGCCGGTTTGAATGTGTCTCCCGCCTTTTCCTCAATGGGTCAAAGTCCAGCCTAGGCTGGGCCTGCCCTCCTCTGGAAAGGCCGGGTGCGGCAGGGCAGGTGCGGGCCTTTCCGGGGCGGGGGGGGGCTCCCCCGCAGTCCCAGGGGGCCAGTGGCCGCCCAGAGGAGGAAGGCCAGACCCAGTGCCCAGCGGGCCCATCATTCCTTTCAGCTCCGGCCACAGAAAGGGCTCGGGGGACGTTCTTTCTCTTGCTCCCACCCCAGATTTTCCAGCAAGAACACTTGGCTAAGTGACATCACACCAGGAGACCCTGCCCTCACCCCAGGACTCAGTGTTCCCAGGCCCGCAGCCCCTCTCTGTCCTGCTTCTTGATGGGGCCGTGGTCAAGGGGAGGGAGAAGACGCCCACAGTGCATTCGGTATAAATTCTTTAAAGAGAGGAAGCCGTTGATGCTCTCAGTAATATATTAGTGCTGTTATATTAATTTCATAAACCAAAATGGCTCTGGCATAATCTCATTATAACAGAGTGGCCCCGCTGGTGCTATTTTGGCCCGCTCCTACTATAGTCGTTCTGTGCCAGGATAGAAATCTCCCGATAATATAGCAAGTCTAGAAGAACAGCATTCTGAACTGTTACCCACACATGATGGTTTTTTTTTTCTTTCTTTCTCAAGATAGCCACTCACAGAACATTAGAGCTGAAAGGAACCTTGGCTGCAACCCCCTCATTTCTCAGATGGGGAGGCGAGGTCTACAGAGGTGGAGAGTACTTGTCTGAGATAAAACCACTTGCTAATCAGAGCTCAGACTGAGCCCAGCACCCGCTCACTTTAGTGCACCGCCTGCCCCCCTGCCCCGAACTGCCTTTGTAAGGAGCCCAGGCAGCCAGCGGCTTGTCTCAGGTGCTTCTCAGCTTCCACATTTCTTTTAGGCCCTTCTTCTGTAATTATCATCGCCATGATCATAATTGATGCTGTAATTAGATTATCTTAGAAATGAACGCCATGAAAGTTCTTGACCCTGGGTCAGATTCTTAAATGACAGAACTTCACTGGTATGAAAACTGCAGTTCCTTTGGTCAGTAGTTGGAGACTTTGGAGCCCCTAAAAATCACCCAAGGAATTTTTGAGAAAAGGCTGATTCCTGAGCCCCACCTCCGGAGATGGAGATCCCCACCTGGGGTGGGGCCTTCGCTGTGCATTTCCACAAGCTCCCAGGCCCAGGCGGTTAACTCGCCTCTTCTCACCTTCCTTCCCAAACTCTTGCTGGCCTTCCAGCTTTTCTTTCTCCCCACGAACATTTGAGTAGCCACCATGTGTGTGCCACAGCGCTCGGCATTAGAGAGAAAAACCCAGTAAGACACCGGTTTTTCCTTGAAGGTAGTAGGGAGAACATGCAGGTAAATACTTAGGAAATAAGAGGATATCTTTTAGAGGTATTTGCATGATGGTCTAGGGACATGAGGAAGAAAGAACTAGCGTTCTCTGGGGAGTGAAGGGAGGGCCTTCCGGAGGAGGAGACATTTGAGCTGATTCTGGAGCAGAGGACCAGGGAGAAAGGGGCCCTGAAGCAGAGGACCGTGGGAAGGCAGGGGCCAGTGGGTGCTGGGGCACAGGTTGTCTAGAACATTCTGAGGGGGTCAGTGGAGATGGAGTGGGGGCTGCTGGGTGCTGCAGAAGTGGGGGCAGGACACGTGGGAAGGAGCAGCTTTGGGGAGGCCTTGTGTGTTTGGCTAAGGGGTTTGAACGTGGTCCTGCAGGTGATGGGAATCCAGAGGAGATTTTTCAAAGAGGATTGACACACTTAGACCTGGGCTTTGGAAGGATCCCTCCGGCAGCTGGGTGGGCAGGTGATGATTTGAGGGCCGAACAGGGAGACAGGGGGAGAGGCTTGGCGTATGGAGAGCTGTCAGGGGCAACGGCCGCAGTCCAGGAGACAGCTGATGGGTTGGATTTTAGCAGTGAGGATGGGGGGGGGGAGATAGGAGAAGTCTGTAGGAGTAGAACTGAGGCTGTTCATTTACTGCCTGAAAGTGGGGGAAGAGAGGGAACAGGAAAAATCGAAGACGAATCTCAGAGATTTTAACTAGAGTTTGACAGAGATCAGGAGTATGGGACGAGGAACAGGTTTTTAGGGGGAGTGCACTTTCAGGGGGAAGTATTGAATTTGAGGTCCCCATGGGATGTGCAGGAGGTGATGTCTGACAGGCAACTGGACGTACAGGATAGAAGTTAAAGAGAGTGGCCTGGGCTGGAGAGGGAGTCCTGGGAGTCACTGCATAGGGATGGAACCATCCAGAAGTATGTGACCAAGAAGACAGGGCTACCCAGGCAGCACCAGCATTGAAGGAAGGGATAGAGGAGGAGAGACCAAGGATCTCAGGGTGGATAGCCCTAGGGCCAGGGAAAGACGTTGGTTGCCCTAGAAGGCAGGGCAGAGGGGTGTTAGGAGGAAGGAATGGTCAATACGGAAAGGCCAAGTGAGCTGAAGACTGGAGAGCATCCTTTGGATTTAGGAACTAGGGAGCTCTTTAACGACCTCTAGGAAAAGTGGTTTCAGGGGAGGGCTGAGGACAGAAACCAGATTGCAGAGGATGGACGAGAGGGAGACCAGGAAGTGGGGACAGCTTGAAGAGACTGGTTTCTAAGAAGGATGCTGAAAGAAGGGGAGCCCGAGACAGGAAGCTGGAAGGGGAGGTGGTGTTGGGAGGGAGGAGGGGGTTCAGACTGGAAGACACAGATCAGGGTGGGCTTAAAGGGATGATGACCTGAGACAGAAGTTGAAGATATGAGCCTGTGGTGCTCAATAGAAGAAGGTTCTAGAAAAGACAGGCGATGATGGGGACTATAACCCAGGCAGAGGATTACTCTTAACTGGGGGAAGGCCACTTTCTCCCTAGTGCAGAGGCAAGTATTAAGGTGGGGATATGGGTCCATTTGGGGGGTGCTGGTTGGCCGTAGTGAGGAAGCTCCTACCTGACGGTTTCTGTGTTTTCTTGAAGTAAGCAATAAAGATTGTCCACTGAGGATGGGGATGGGGGAGGGAAGAAGGAGAAGCAGGGGAGGGACTTGAGGCTGGTGGGGAAGCTTTGGAACTCTCAGCAAATGGCAACTGGCTGGGGGCCCTGAAGAAGATTGCAGGGGGCACTTAGGGCCCAGCTAAGCATGGGGGCTGTGGGTTTGCAGTGACATGGGTCATCCCAGTTTTATGGTTCCCTGTCAGCCCAAAGCCGGGGTGGAGACAGCCCGGGACTACATCGTTCTGGGCCAGGGGCTGACAAGGGGAGAGCGGCAGACGAACAGGGGCAGGAAGTTGAGGGTGTGATGGGTTGTGTCCCCATCTGCGACCCTGGGATGGTCCATGATATCCAGGAGGGGTGAGGGTGGTCATGCGGTTTGAGGGAGCAATGGTGAGAGAAGAAGAGGGGTCGGGGCCCGCGGGTCTCAGGGGGGCTGAGGAGGAGGTGTAAGGGCATCATGGGTTCCCCCGCACACTTACAATTTAGCACTGGCTGACTTTGCCCTCCCTGGGCTTCCTCTCCCACGGCCTCCCCGGACCAAAGCCCACATTACAGGGCATCCCTGAGTGCCCTGGGGGCACCAGAACAGTGACGCTGTTTCTTCTCTCCTCTTCAGAGGGCTGGGTCAGCTGGGGAATGCCCTCCTGTACGTGGTAGATGTCCAAACTTAGAGGAAAGAGAGAGAAAGAGGAAAGAAAGGAAAGGAAGGAAGGAGGAAGAAAAGAAGAAGAAAGAAAGAAGTCAGAAAAAAGTCTAGCTTGCGTGATTCCATTTATATAAAGTTCTAGAAACTCGAGAACATGCAAACTGATCTATAGTGACAGGAAGCAGATCAGTTGTTGCGGGGGGAGGAATTACAAGGGGGGCACGAAGAAAAATTGGGAGGGTCACATCTTGATTTTGGTGGTAGTTTCACAGGTACATACATATGTCAAAACTTTGAATTGTACACTTTAAGTATGTGCAGTATTGTATATCTTACTTTAGTGGAAGCATTCTTAGTGGGGTTTATTATATTAACTAAAGTATTAATGCTACTTTGAAAGCAGTGAGGGGAGTCCTGTCCTGGGCCCAACGGCCCCCACCCCAAAGCCTGGATGATACAGGCCATCTGAGAGTCCTCTCCTCCACGTACCTGGATTGGCCGAGAAAGTCGGGTGCTTAGGAGGCGCCTGGGTGGCTCAGTCGTTAAGCGTCTGCCTTCGGCTCAGGTCATGACCCCAGGGTCCTGGGACCGAGCCCCGCACCGGGCTCCCTGCTCGGCGGGAAGTCTGCTTCTCCCTCTCCCGCTCCCCCTGCTTGTGTTCCTGCTCTCGCTGTGTCTCTCTCTGTTAAAAACAAAACAACAACAACAAAATCTTAAAAAAAAAAAAAAAAAGGTGCTTCATGCTGGGTCCCACCTGGCTCTGGAAACCTCAGTATCACTTGGTTGAGGGGGGATTGAGAAATGTTGATGGATTCATCTGCCTTCTGATCCAGACCCAGAGGATCTGCAGTGGTAGGGAGCCCACTTTGCTGGAAGTAAGATACTAGAATTGTGGCTTCATCACTTATTGATTGTATGATTTGGGGCAAGTTACTTAACCTCTCTGAACCTCAGATTCATCATCTGTAAAATTCCTAATGTGAGGGACCGTTGTGAATGAAACTATTTAGCATTGTAGACGCCCAGGGACCCAGCCTCCTCTTTTTGTATCCATCGAGAGGCTGCCAGTTAAGGACCTTCCCTGTTCTCCCCAGAGACTTCCCCAGTCACCTCAAATGCTACCTCCTTAGTGAAGTCTTCATGCTGTCCCTCTTCCTTAATTTCATCCCGGTTAGCACTCCCTCCCTGGTGGTGGGATAATGCTCTCTACACGTAGCTATTATAGGGATAGGGTATACTTCCTATCCCATCATATGGCAACTACCTTTTTCTATGTTTGTTTCCCCAATGGGTTATAAATTATTTGAGGTCAGGGTCAGACATTATTCATTTCTGAATCCTCAGCGTCTGCTCAGTCAGTGCTTCGTGAATGTGAATCAGTGTTGATGTGAATTTGGAGAGGGGTGTCCTACTCAGGGAGGCCTTCTTGTATCTGACACTTTCTTATTGGTCTTCTGTAGTGATGAGGAGAAGTCAACCAGCTGGGTGCACCCTGGCACGGAATCTGCCATCCAGAGTGGACACTCCTCCAGCCCAGGTAAGGAGCTCGGCTGTCCCTGCCTTTGCAGTCGAGGAGGAAGCAGTGGCTTGAGGCAGCATTACACATCCCCTGCCCTGACTTTTCTTCTGACTTTTTCTTTTCTCCATGGATGGATTCAGCTCAGCATTTGGACCACCATCTGGGGGAGGGTGCAGGAGGGTTGATACTCAGCTTGAGGTTTTCCAAGTTTCTAGCTCTACAGTTAGTATGTGGGACAGACCATGGAGGATGCCGATTTGACTTCTCTCTCATCCTCCTGCCCAGTCAGAAAATCCCGTCCATCCTCAGAGCTCCTGACCTAGACAGAACCCCAGCTCCTATACCATGTGCCTGTGCCATAGAACCATATGCCATGATGGAAATGTTCTCTCTTTGTGCTGCCCAGTGGAGTCACCATTAACCACGTGTAGCTGCTGAGCAACTGACATGTGATTAGCGTGGTTGAGGAACTGAATTTTAAGATTTTAATGAATTTAAACTTACATAGCCCCACATGGCTAATAGGAATTCCTTCACACTGGGGAGAACATGAAAGAAAAGGAGTCAGGGCCCACATGGATTGCTTACTGTGGAGAAGACTCTGTTGCTAGCCCTTAAAAACCTCCCAGGCCAGTGGCAAAGTGGGGTCACGTACAGGCAAGATTTCAGTCTAAACTGGGGAGTCAGAGACACCAAGAAGGAGAAGGGCTAGGGTGCTTCAAGTGGACAAGCGATGCTCTTCAGAAGGCTGCCACTGACCTCCCCTCCCTGGCCGTCCAGCCCTTTCCCTGACGGCACACCAGACGTGGTTCTAGGAGTTTGGGTCATTCATGAGGTACGGCTGGTGCTGCTGTATACATTGGGTTAAGGTGTTGGCCTGCCCAGAGCCTCCTTTCTTTTAGACTCTGGGCTGGAATAATTGTGTTGTTAGAGCTGGAAGGGACTTCAGGGACCCTGGAGTCCAACTCCTTTTAAAGGTAGAAAAATTGAGGAGCAGAGAGGAAGTACCTGGCTCAAGGCCACTCGGCTAATAAGTGAAGCTGTGTTGGGGTTAAATGCCTAAGTGTTGGAGGCAGAGAGCCCTGAGCTCAAATCTTGGCTCTACTTTCTGTTAGTCTGGTCTTGAGCAAGGGGTTGAAATCATCCAGGACTTGGCTTCTTCATTTGTAAGCTAGGGAGAGAATGATGAACCTCCGAAGAGTCTAGCAAAGGCTACCTGAGAGAATCCCCATCGGTGGAGGAGACTGCCGTTGCTATTGTCATTATTGTTATTTTTGACATGAAGCAGGGCCTCCGGACCCCAAGGCCGGGTTGTATTCTTCTTCTGGGTTGGTGTTTTTGCTGCTGTCAGTGTTTAAAATCGAATTCCATCTATCTCACTATGACTCTAGGGAGGATTAGAAGATGAATAAAAGCCTTCACGCCAATTATTTCATTTGGGACTTCAGCCAAGTGGTTGTCCAAGGCTGGGAAGGGGTTAAGGTGCCCCTGAAGCTTGCCGGGAGGGCAGCTGTCTCCGCGGGCACTCCGCCTGGACAGGAATATAAGCACTCTTGGTGTTGCCCGGGCGGAGAGGGCAGTGTGCAGGGAAGTTGCTGGAAAAGGCAGGGGACATAATCCACGCTGGCCTCTTTCCCAAGCACATCACAATGGCAGGATTATTTATGATTCTGACCCAATGGGGATCCCTCTACTTGGGGAGACTGCCAATCCACGCCCTTCTGAATGGAAACGTCCTCCCCCAGGGATGGAGGGGAACAAATAGCATTTATGGAGCAGCACAGAAGATAGAATGTCAGCTTTGGAAGCAGGAGACCAGACTCACATCCTGGCCCAGACGCTTCCTGTGTGACCTTAAGCAAGTTGATTAACCTCTCTGGGCCTCAGGTTTCCTCATCGATAAAAATGTTCAAGCTGATGCCTATTATATACTGTTGTTGTGCAAATTAAATGTGCTAACAGTGGTAAAATGTGTAGCTTAGAGGAAGGACGCATTAAGTGGCAGCTGGTGTTACAATTTCTATGGACCAGGTCCTGAGAGGGGAGCTGGGCTCGTTGGCTTTCCTGCTGCACTGAAGAGTAGCGTCACTATCAACAGCAACATGGAAATAGGGGTGAGTAAAATGAATGCTAGCAACTGCACCCACCACTCTATAGAACCCAGGCTCTGCTCTGTAGCAGCTTGTGCCCTGAGGCAGCTGATGATAAGGTGGGAAAGATTCAGCCGTGTTTTATAAAACCTCACATACAAGGCAGATATTCAGCTTGATCAGAAAGGTAGCAGTGATTGTCAAGAGAAGCCACACCTGTTTTGCATTATATCAGCCGCAGGGCTCTTGCACGCCCGAAAGCAATGATCTCTACCAGTGCCCTGCCTGTCCCCACCTCTGACAGGGGTCTCCCTTGCGTTTCTCAGAAGACTTCCCGTCTGCTTCGGGGTGGAGGAATCCTGTTTGCCAGGGAGGCAGGATTTTTTGCGGGGGGAGGATGGGTAGGACAAAATGGTACCCAACAGAGCACTCTTCGGAGACAGAGGTGCTCAGCCTCTCTGGAGCTGCCCAGCAGGGGCTGCCTCCGCCTGTAGGGATTGCCCGGGCACCTCTGAGCTGTGGTCAGCTTCCTCAGCTGTTCAGGTCTTGCTCACTCTGTGAGTCTGCAATTCTCCACTCTGAGCATTTCCATGGATAATTTTTTTCAGGGGTGCTATTAAAAAATGTTTTTATAGATCAATCAGACAGAAACTCAATAAGGAAACGTAGGACTTAAATTAGGCCAAATGAACTTGATAGATATATACCCAATGTTCCACCTCAAACCAGCAGGATACACACTCTTTTCAAGTGCACATGGAACACTCTCCAGGGGTGATCATATGTTAAGACACAAAACAAGTCTCAGTACATTTAAGAAGATTGAAATAATATCAACATCTTTTCTGACCACAATGGTATGAAACTAAAAATCAGTTACAAGAAGAACGCCAGAAAAATCATAAATATTTGGAGACTAAACAATGTGTTACCAACCAACCAAGAAGTCAACAAAGAAATCAAAAGAGAAATGAAAAAAATACCTTGAGACAAATGAAAACAGAAATACGACATACCAAAATCTATGGGGTGCAGCAAAAACAGCTCCAAGAGGAAAGTTCATAGCAATATGGACCTACCTCAAGAAACAAGAAAATCTCAAATAACCAATCCAACTTTACACCTAAAGGAACTGAAAAAAGAATAACAAATGAAGCCCAAAGTGAGCAGAAGGGAAGGAAATAACAAAGCTCAGAGTGGAAATCAATGAGATGGAGACTGGAAAGACAACAGAAAAGATGAACTCAGAGCTGGTTCTTTGAGAAGATAAACAACATGGATAGACCTTTAGCTGGACTCACCAAGAAAAAGAAGGCTCAAATAAATAAAATCAGAAATAAAAGAGAAGTTACAACTGACACCACAGAAATACAAAGGATCATAAGACACTACAATGAACAATTATATGCTAACAAATTACACAACCTGGAAGGAATGGCTAAATTCCTACAGACGCGCCATCTTCTAAGACTGAATCACGGAAGAAATAGTAAATGTGAATACAGTGATTACTAGTAAGAAGATTAAATCAGTAATCAAAAACCTCCCAACAAAAACCCAGGACCAGATGGCTTCATTGGTAAATTCTACCAAACATTCAAAGATTTAATACCTATCTTTCTCAAACTCTTCCAAGAAATTGAAGAGGAGGGATTGCTTCCAAATTCATTTTACAAGGCCAACATTACCCTGATAACAAATCCAGACAAAGATGCCGTGAAAAATGAAAATGACAGGCCAATATTCCTGATGAATATATATGTAAAAATTCTCAACAAAATATTAGCAAACTGAATTCGATACATTAATAGGACCGTTTACCATGATCAATTGGTGTTTATTTCAAGGACTCCCAGAAATAAACCTAAGCATATATGATCAATTAATTTATGACAAATGAGGCAAGAATATGCGGTGGAGAAAGGACAGTCTCTTTAAATGGTGTTGGGAAAATTGGACAGCTACATGCAAAAGAATGAAACTAGACCACTATTGTACGTCATACACAAAAATTAACTCAAAATGGATTAAAGATTTGAATGTAAGACCTGAAAGCATAAAACTCCTAGAAGAAAACACAGGCAATAAACTCCTTGACATTGGTCTCAGTGATGAATTTTTGGGGCTGACTCTAAAAGCAAGGGCAACAAAAGCAAAAATAAACAAGTGGGACTGCATCAAACTAAAAAGTTTCTGCACAGCAAAAGAAACCATCAACAAAATGAAAAGGCAACCTACAGAATGGGAGAAAATATTTGCAAATCATATATCTGACAAGGGGTTCCTATCCAAATATATAAAGAACGCCTACAGCTCAATAGCAAAAACAAAAAACAAAAAAACACCCCAAAAGCAAACAAACAAAAAACCCAAAATAAAAAACTATCTGATCAAAAAGGGGGCAGAAGACCTGAATAGACATCTTTCCAAAGAAGACATATAGGTGGCCAATAGGCACATGAAAAAAGATGCTTAACATCACTAAAAAAAAAAAAAAGTGCGGTCAAAACCAAATGATATGGGGCGCCTGGGCGGCTCAGTCTTTAAGCGCCTGCCTTCAGCTCAGGTCGTGATCCCGGGGTCCTGGGATCGAGCCCCACGTCGGGCTCTCTGCTCAGCGGGGAGTCTGCTTCTCCCTCTCCCACTCACCCTGCTTGTGTTCCCTCTCTCGCTGTCTCTCTCTCTCTGTCAAAATAAATAAATAAAATCTTAAAAAAAAAAAACCAAATGATATATTACAGCACAGCTCATAGAACAGCTCTTATCAAAAAGACTAGAAATAACAAGGGTTGGCGAGGAGGTGCAGAAAGAGGAACTCCCTTGCACTGTTGGTGGGAATGCAAACTGGGACAGCCACTGTGGAGAACAGTGTGGAGGCTCCTCAGAAAATAAAACAGAACTGCCCTATGACCCAGCAATTCCCCTGCTAGGTATTTATTCAAAGACAGCAAAAACACTACTTCAAAGAGATATATGCACCCCTGTTCGTTGTAGCATTATTGACAATAGTCATGACATGGAAACAACCCGGGTGTCCGTTGATGGATGAATGGGTAAAGATGTGGTAGATATATATGATAGAATACTACTCAGCCATAAAAAAGAGTGAAATCTTGCCATTCATGACGGCAAGGATGGACCTTGAGAAAACTGTGCTAAGTGAAACAAGAAAGACAAATACCGTGTGATTTCACGTTTGTGTGGAATCTAAACAGCAAAGCAAATGAACAAACCCAACCAAACTCATCGATAATGGAGCCGAATGGTGGTTACTTGAGGAGAGGGGAGCTGATGGGGAGCCAAATGGGTGGAGGAGGTCAAGAGGTACAAACTTCCAATTATAAAATAAATAGATATATAATGAACAGCACGGTGACTATAGTCAATAATAGGGAAGGCACGTACTGGAAAGTTGCCAAAAGACTAAATCCTAAAAGTGCTCATCACAAGAAAAAAAATTGTCCCTATGTATGGTGATGGATGGTAACTAGCCTTGTGGTGATCATTTCTCAATGTATCCAAATAACAAATCATTACCCTGTACACCTGAGACTAATATATAATGTCATGTGTCATGTCAATTAAAAAAAATTTTTTTTTAGTCTCTCCATTTTCCCTGGACGGATTTCCTTTTTTTTTTTTTTTAAGATTTATTTATTTATGTTGAGAGAGTGAGAATGAGAGAGAGAGAGAGAGAGTACATGAGAGGGGGGAGGGTTAGAGGGAGAAGCAGGCTCCTCGCTGAGCAGGGAGCCCGATGCGGGACTCGATCCCGAGACTCCAGGATCATGACCTGAGCTGAAGGCAGTCGCTCAACCAACTGAGCCACCCAGGCGCCCCTGGACTGATTTCCTAAGTCCTCAGCATCTTGTCTGGAAGCAGCAGAAGCTAGAGGTGATAATTTGGGCTGGGTTTTGCAGGCTTGAGTCCTGGTCTGATCCCCGGTGCGGCCTGGGGCAAGTGACCCGCCGTTGGCTACCCCTTGTGCTTCTGTGATGTGAGGGGAGGGGGCTGTGGGATGACCCTGAGCGCCCTGCCCGGGCAAGCATCTGTGTGTTCACTGCTGTATCCCCGGGGCTGGCGCAGGGCCTGGCCCAGAGGAGATGCTCAAGAAAAGCTTGTCCAATGAATGAGCAAACCGTGGAAGGCAATGATCCACTTGGTGACCTCGCTGCTCACAGACAGGAGGCGTCCCATTCACTGCCGTCGCTCTTATTATTTGCTGAAATCAGATGGATAGAAATAATGGACCAAAAAGATGACATGGTTGGCTTGAGCACTGTTGGCTTGTCTGTGAATTTTTCCTAGTTCTCCCTGCCCCATCCCTCCTGCGTGCAAATAGGGTTTGTGGGGCTGAGAAGAGAGTCATTATGTGATTTTGCTTCTTCACAGGATTGCCCAAGGGCTGGGAGATGGATTCTACCCAGGAAGGAGCTGTGTATTTCATCAAGTGAGTAAGATGCGGTTTCTTTCTGGTCTGACTGTTGGGTCTGCTGTTATCCTTGTCCTGGGTGGCTGCTTGGGAGGGGAGGTGCTTAGAGGGTCTGCTTGGGCACTGAAGGCCTTGCGGGGGTGGGGGTGGGGGTCTGTGACTGGCCAGGAGGCCTCAAGCCTTCTGAACGTGGCAGAGAACGCTGGGTGTGTGTTTCTGCTGGTCTGGGAGAGCCAGTGTCGGTCATGGGAAGTTTGCCGGGTTGGAGTGGGTGAGGGTCGGGTCGGGCTGAGTTGAAACGGGGGGAATAACTCAGCAAATAAAGGAAAGAGGCTGCTTTAGACCCACGTGGGACAAAGGCTCAGAGGAAGGAGCCCGAGCACCAGGATGCCCAAAGGGGCTGGAAGCGGAGCCAGGTGGAGGGAAGGTGTGAGCGAGGGTGCAGACAGGCGGGCCGGGAGGTGGCCAGGCCCACCTCTTCTCTCCTGCTCCCCTGGCTGGGGCACGTGTGACCCTGGAGGTGGCAGGGGTGTGTGCGGTGCTCTGCTTTTCTCTGGGGCTTGGTCACGCCGCTCCCGGGGCCAGGGTAGCTGGTGCTCTCAGCAGCTGACTGCGCACCTGGGGAAGGTGTCCCGAAGCAGAAGGTAACTCTTTGGGCTGGGGTGGTCCACGTCCACCCGACCGGACTCATTTCCCTCGGCATCGGCCCGGGTCTCTCCGTCTCCCAGGCAGGCTGGGTCCTGGCTTAGTTCCCACGGGCGAGGCCCGGCGTGCACGGGCCCGTGCCTGGTCTGCCTCGGAGTCTGCGCGCTGGGAGAGCGTGGCTCTGCAGACAGCGGGGGCGCGGGCACCGCCAGAGGCATCCCTGGCCCAGCCAGGGACGGAGGGCCCTCCTCACCTCTTTCCCCTCCTGCTCTCCTTCCAGATCTTCATTCCTCCGTCAGGAGAGCTCATCCTTCCATCCCCTGCCTTGAGACCAGCCGGCACTTACGCCAGCTTGGCTGTTAACCATATTCTTTTTTTGTTTTGTTTTGTTTTAAGATTTTATTTCTTTATTTGACAGAAAGAGAGAGAGAGCACAAGCAGAGGGAGGGACAGAGGGAGAAGGAGACGCAGGCTCCCCACTGAGCAGGGAGCCCGATGCGGGACTCGCCCAAGACAGACACTTAACCAATTGAGCCACCCAGGCGCCCCTGTTAAACACAATGGACAAATTCTCTGCTTTGGAGATTGTTCAGATATGACATGACTCCTATGGCCTGAGCTTTCCCTGAAATTGAACCGAAATCCTTGCTGCAGTTAAGATTTATTTCCTCTTTTCTCCTCGGTGATACCATCTGCGTACTCCTTATGTACATCTGGTGCGTGAGACCAGGTACTTTCGCCTGTATTACCTCCTCTCCTCTGGCCCTGAACACATACCACCTGCTGTAGCCTAGCCCTGACCCTCTCTGACCTCATCTTCCATAACTGGCCAGCTCTGGCGATTTTCATCTTTCTTTCCCTCCATTGTGCCAAATTCATTCTTACCTCAGGACCTTTGCATGTGCTGTTCCTTCTGCCTGGGAGCACTTTCCTCCTGTTTTTGTGTATCTGGCACCTATGTATCATTTAGCTCAAGTGTTACCTTGTCAGAGTGACCCCTCCTGATACCCCATTCCCTGCCCCACTCTGCTCCTCCCTAGCCCCTCTTACTTTTTTTTTTTTTTTAAAGTAAATTCCATGCCCAGTGTGGAGCTCAAACACACAACCTCGAGATCAAGAGTCTCATGCCCCACCGAGCCAGCCGGGCGCCCCCAGACCCTCTTACTTTTCTTCATACCACCTGCCAGGGAGCCAGAAGTTTGCTGTTTCTGTGTTTGCCTATTTATTGCTGGTGTCCCCCCACTGCCACGTCAGTCCTGAGAGCAGATTCTGGCTATTTCATGTTCCACCATGTCCTAGAACCTTGCCGGCACATGATAGGAATCTAAGGTGTTTGCTGGAATAAATGAATGGGAGATGTTGGGGGATAAACAACAGAGGCATGGCTAACTCCTGCTGCAGCTGCCAGCCCGGAGCATCCTGAGCTGCCCTGGCTCCATGTGCCCGGTCCTGAACTCGTCCCCTTTTCCTCGCCAACACCGATTCCATCTTTCACAGAAGCGCCACCAGAGCAGAACCCTCAGAAACAGGCTCACGCCCCATTGCGTGTTGGTTCTCCTCTGAAATATCTCACCCCATGGCCGCAGCCTGAGTTCCTTCCCACATGGGTTCTCATCTGGATCATTCTAGCGGCTTCCCAACTGATCTCCCTGCCTCCAGGCCAGACTGCTGCCAGAATGCTTGTTCTCTACAATGCAAATTTCGTCACATCATCCCGCATTAAAAACCTTTCCTGCTTCCCATCAGTTATAGGAAAAAAATCTGAATTCCTTACTCAGGCACTTGAAAGGGCTTCATAATCTGGCTTCCTGCCTTCTTTCTCTAGCTTCACCTCCCATACTCCCCAGTTTGCCAGACCGGATCATTTGTGGTTCCCTCAACACACACCTCCCTTCTGTGCCTCCCAGCCTTTGCAAGTGCTGATCTCTGCTCTCACCGGGCTTGTGTCCACCTGTGAACACTTGCTTTTCCTTTAAAACTCTGCCCATGACATCACGCCTTCAGGGAAGCCCACCTGTATTGTGATTGTTTACATGTGTGTCATTTTCCCTAGATTGGTGGTTCACAGACTTGAGGGTGCACCGAAATCACCTGGAGGGCTTGTTAAAACAGATCGTTTGGCCCCATCCCTGCAGTTTCTGGTTCAGAAGGTCTGAGAATGCGCATTTGTGGCAGGTCCCCCGGCGGGTGTTGGTGCGGCTGGTCCAGGCACTCCAGTTGGAGAACCAGGGGTCTAGATTGAAAACTCATCCAGGGCAGGGGAGACATAGGGTGGCCGTAAAGTCTGGAAACATAGACAATATCATTTCATGACGTATTGCCACGAAATGTCACAAGCTATTATGCTTTCACGTCTGTTCCCAGACTCGGTGGCCTCCCCATGCGTCCGGAGCGGCAGGGGCCTCTCCGAGAGCTGAGCTTCACTACATGGTCTCATTCGGTCCCCACCACAGCATTATGAGGGAGCTGCTATCATCCCTGACTGTTTTAACAAGGCAGGAGAAAACTGAGACTTAAAACTGAGATTTAAAACTGAGTGAAAAAATGTGTTCAGTGTCATGAAGCTTGTAGGAAGCGAAGCTGGGATTCAGCCCCATGTTTGCCTGATTTCGCAGCCTGGGTGCCCAGCTTAACACCACAGCTGCCTTGGTGCCGTGCTTAGAGTGGGGGGGGGGGTTTCCAGAAACCCTGACTGCCTGAGGGAGGAGGGGGGGGGGGAGGGAAGGAAGGGGGGGAGGGAGGGAGGGAGGGAGGAAGGACGGATTCGCCCCTTCATTTTCACAGTTCCCTGCATGATCCATTCCCTACAAAGGTTTGTGACATTGGGTTGGTAGGTGAGTTAGAAACTCTGACGACCCCGGATGTGGATTCCGAGAGCTAACAATAAAAGTCAGGTACACAGACAACTGGAGAAGCTATTTCTTTTCCCTTCTCAAATTTCAATGAGCCAGCGCTGACACTTGCCCAGGATCAGACGAATATGATCACTGTGTGTCAGTAAGGCCTGCCCCTCACGGTGTTTGGGAGGTAATTCTCGTGGTACCCACGGTGTCATGGCTCAAGCGTGATGCGGTTTTGAGGGTGTCTTTTACAGGTGGGTGGTGCAGAGAGAAGAGAAAAAGCCGGGTTAAAATGTGGGGGAAACCCCGGCAAGCCTGTGTGCGTGTACCACATCGATCCAGTAGAGGGCGCCAAAGCACACAGGATCGGCCCCAGGAAGGCCTTGAAGCCTTCCTGACCCACAGCCGCTCCAGGGCCATCTCCACCATCCTCGGCCACATCTCATCCACTGTGGGTCTGGTAGACTTCTTTCAGACGCTTAGAGATCTGGGTACGTTGCACCCATTCCTGATTTTCTCTGGCCCCTGGCTTCTCCCCCACTTCCTGCGAAAGCAGCCGGCTGCAGAGTTTGCCAATTCTGTCTCCGAGGAAGGCGGCTCAGGGGAGGGAAACCCCATTTTGCAGATGCAATAAACTGAGGCCCAACAGCCAAATAACTTGTTCCAAGTCGCTCGGTTGGTAAGGGGCAGAGCTGGGGTTGGAACTCAGTAGGCCCTCAAAGACAGCTCACCACAGGGGGCTCCCTTTTCTCTCCCCAGTTGGTTCACTCTGACAGAGAGGGGAGGGGGGCCCGTGTGGACATGGCCGGGGTGAGGCATGGGTGACACATGTCTGAGGGGCAACAAGCCCATCAGTTTCACGGCCGCCTGGACTGTGATGACATTCAAAAGGCAGGGAGGCCCCGGGGGTTTAGAGACTGGTAGTGACCCAGAGTTTTGGACTTTCCCCTTTGAGCCCCGGGGGCATGGATTCTAAGGGCGCTTTCTTCCCTCGTGCCTCCTCCTCACGCCCTCTCCACCTGAGTGTCACAAGAGTCTTGCTTCTCCACTGCTGGGCTTGCAAGAGAGAGAATGTAGGTTTGGTGAAGGAAGTTTCTTTTCTCTGCTTCTCTTCACCCAGCCTTGCTGGGACTCTTAAGACCCTTTTGCTGCAATGTCTACCTTACCCTGCTCCCCAAAACGAAGGCCCTGCTCCCCAAAACGAAGGCCCTGCTCCAACAGCAGCCCTCCCTCTGGTCTCTCATGCCCCCAGGGCTGCCCAGGTAGCCCAGAGGCATCCGCAGGGCCAGCTCAGAGGATCTGTCTGCAGCCCTTGCCCTCTGTCTGCCAGAGAGGAAACCCTCCCAGCAGGCCCTTCTGTCCGTCTCCTGCCTTTTTCAGCTGCCTAAGGATTGTGGGGGTTGGGGACTGGGGTCCTCATTCCCTTCCCTACCCTGCCTGTCTCCCCCCGGATGCTGTAATCTCTGGTGCCAGCCCTGCTTTGCTCCATTGGCTCCTCAAGGCCAGAGACGCCCCCAGAGCCCCTCATCTTTG